AATCCCAGTCTCTAGGTCGCTCTCTGGGATAATTCCGATCTCTGTGATAGTCTCTGGGACAGTGCCAGTCCTGGTCATCAGAAAGACAACAGTCGCAGGATTGATCCCAGTCACTAGAATGATACCATTCTCTGATCCAGACTCTGCAATAATCCCAATTCCTGGGCCATTTTCTGAAATGATCGCAGCCTCCAGGCCAGTCTTCGGGATGATCCCAGCCTCGGGGCCAATCTCGGTCACATGGATGATCCCGATACCTGGAGTGTGACCTCAGATAGTCTCGGTTCCTCGGGTGGTTATGGTGTCTGGAGTGGTGTCTAAACCAGACATTATCCCTGTCTGGAGGGCCATCTCTTGGGTGGTCCCATTCTCGTGGCCGGTTTCCTGCGTGCTCCTGCTCACTGGGATGGTCTCTAACAAAATCCCGATGCCTGCTTGTGGAATGACCCCGGTCCCTAGGTTGGTGATCACAATGATCCCAGTCGCAGGATTGACACCATTCTCTGTTACAGTCTCTGGAATGATCCCAATCCCTAGGCAGGTCTCGGAACCATTCACTGTGAGAGTCCCGGTCCCGGTGATCCCAGTCTCTCTCTGTACGATGATCTCTTGGATAGTCTCGGTCTCTGGGATGGTCACGGCCGCTGGGATGCTCCGAATCTCTAAACCAGACTCCAGCATCATCCCAGTTTTTATCCCGAGGGCAACATCTCGCATGGTCCTGTTTTCTTGACCAGTATCCTGTATTCTCCTGATTCCGGGTGTGTTCCTGGTTTCTGGGCTGATCTCTGGGATGCCCTGGGCCTCTGTGTTGGTCCCTGGGAAGCCCCTGGCCCCTGGGCTGGTCACTGGGAAGACCCTGGCCCCTGGGCTGGTCACTAGGAAGCCCCTGGCCCCTGGGCTGGTCACTGGGAAGCCCCTGGCCCCTGGGCTGGTCACTGGGAAACCCTTGGCCACTGGGCTGGTCACTGGGAAACCCCTGGCCCCTGGGCTGGTCACTGGAAAACCCCTGGCCACTGGGCTGGTCGTTGGGAAGCCCCTGGCCTCTGGAGTGGTCACTAGATAGTCCCTGGACCCTGGGGTGGTCACTGGGAAGCCCCTGACCGTTGGGAAGTTCCTGGCCCCTGGGCTGGTCCCTAGGAAGCCCTTGGCCCCTGGGCTGGTCTCTGGGAAGCCCTTGGCCCCTGGGCTGGTCACTGGGAAGCCCCTGGCCTCTGTAGTGGTCCCTAGATAGTCCCTGGACCCTGGGCTGGTCCCTAGGAAGCCCCTGGCCCCTGGGCTGGTCTCTGGGAAGTCCCTGAGGTTGCCTGATCATGTGTCTCCACCGTTCCCTGGGCCAGTGTCTGACAAAATCCCAGTCTCTTTCTGTACGACGATCTCTTGGATAGTCTGGATCTGTGGGATGGTCACGGCTGCTGGAATGCTCCCAATCATCATCACAGTCTTTGTCTGTAGGGTAACGTCTCACATGGTCCTGTTCTCTTGACCAGTCTCCTGCGTCCTCCTGCATACTCGGAAGTCCATGTTCTCTGGGAAGCTCCTTGTCCATGGGATTTCCCTGGCGCCTGGGCTGGTCCCCGGGAAGCCCCTGGTCCCCGGGCTGGTCCCTGGGAAGCCCCTGATCCCTGGGCTGGTCCCCGGGAAGCCCCTGGTCCCCGGGCTGGTCCCTGGGAAGCCCCTGATCCCCGGGCTGGTCCCCGGGAAGCCCCTGGTCCCCGGGCTGGTCCCCGGGCTGGTCCCCGGGAAGCCCCTGGTCCCCAGGCTCATCCCCGGGAAGCCCCTGGTCCCCGGGCTCATCCCCGGGAAGCCCATGGCCCCCGGGCGGGTCCCCGGGAAGCCCTGGTCCCCGGGCTCATCCCTGCGAAGCCCATGGCCCCCGGGCGGGTCCCCGGGAAGCTCCTGGTCCCCGGGAAGCCGCTGGTCCCTGGGATCATCCCCGGGAAGCCCCTGGTCCCTGGTTTGGTCCCCGGGCGGGTCCCCGGGCAGCCCCTGGTCCCCGGTCTGGTCCCCGGGCAGCCCCTGGCCCCCGGGCGGGTCCCCGGGCAGCCCCTGACCCCCGGGCGGGTCCCCGGGAGGGTCCCGGGCAGCCCCTGGTCCCCGGGCGGGTCTGGGCAGCCCCTGTCCCGGGCTGGCCCCGGGCGGCCCCTGACCCCCGGGCGGGTCTCCGGGCAGGTCCCCGGGCGGCCCCTGGAGCGGCTTGACTCCGCGCCTGGGCCGCTCCGCCAGACCGTCGCCGGGCGACGAGGGGTCCGAGCGACAGCTGCCGCGTCCAATCAGTGGGCTCGGGGCAGCCCAGGGCCTCCATGGCAGCCAATGGGCGGCGAAGGGGGGGGGGGGCGGGATCAACAGCGCGTGGGCCGTCTCCGCCTCAACTCAATCCGTGGACGCCGCCCGGGGTTCACCCACACACACACCCACACACACGACGGTAAGTCGCCCACCGAACACCCGCCGGTAAAGTCGCTCAACTTGCGGCAGGAAACGCCACCAACGTCTGTGACTGCCTGACCGACCCCCTCCCCGCCTCTCCCTCTCTCTCTCTCCCTCTCCTTCGCCGCTGTCCGCCGCTCCTCACGGCACTGACGGACTAACTGACTCGACGGCCTCGCGCCCAAACCAACCGCCGCCGGCGCCTCGCGGACGGACGGACTGACTGACTTGACTGACGGCCGCCCCGTCCAATCAGGCGGCTCGCGCGGGCCCAGCAGCCAATGAGCGGCGGCGAGAAGGACGGGGTGGGCGTGGAAGGGAGGGGGCGGGGCAGCCAATGGGTTGGGGGGGGGGCGGTGTCAACAGCACGCGCGGCGGCGAGGCGTCTCTGCCGCCTCGCGCGGGCAACGGCCACTCTGGCCCCGCCCATAACAACCCCGCGTGACCCACCCGGCCCCGCCCACCTCACTCGGCCCCGCCCACAACGGCTGACACCCGCCCGGTGACCACGCCCATAGCAACCGAGCATCTCCCAACACATAGCTACCCCGCCTCGCCCATAGCAACCGAGCATCTCCCAACCACCATAGCTACCCCGCCTCGCCCATAGCAACCGAGCATCTCCCAACCACCATAGCTACCCCGCCTCGCCCATAGCAACCGAGCATCTCCCAACCACCGTAGCTACCCCGCCTCGCCCATAGCAACCGAGCATCTCCCAACACATAGCTACCCCGCCTCGCCCATAGCGACCGAGCATCTCCCAACCACCATAGCTACCCCGCCTCGCCCCTAGCAACCGAGCATCTCCCAACCACCATAGCTACCCCGCCTCGCCCATAGCGACCGAGCATCTCCCAACGACATTGCTACCCCGCCTCGCCCCTAGCAACCGAGCATCTCCCAATACATAGCTACCCCGCCTCGCCCATAGCAACCGAGCATCTCCCAACCACCGTAGCTACCCCGCCTCGGCCATAGCAACCGAGCATCTCCCAACACATAGCTACCCCGCCTCGCCCATAGCAACCGGGCATCTCCCAACCACCATAGCTACCCCGCCTCGCCCATAGCGACCGAGCATCTCCCAACCACCGTAGCTACCCCGCCTCGCCCATAGCAACCACTGGGCCCCGCCCGGAAACCCGTCACCGTGACCGGCCGGGCGTCTGACACACACACACACACACACGTTAACCCGTGAAGGTGTCACAGTTATTATCAGACTACACGGAGGCGTCTATCCGGACCGTACAGAGCCACTCAGTGTGAGGGTGAGCAGACGGCGGTGAACAGGGGAATCCCAATCTCAATGCTGAAGGTAAGAGGGTTCCTATAAGTTGCTTTAAGTCCGCTCCGAGGTTCTCGGGCTGCAGCTGGGGAGGGTGTCAGAGGCCCAGCGGTGAGGCCAGTGGCTCCTCAGTGCCCCGGGGCTCGTTCAACATACCGAGAAGCTGCTGGTAACACCGACGCTGAGCATTCACTTGCCTGTCCCGCTGCACGCGTGTGCGTGCGCGCGCGTCCGTCCGTCCCCGGCGTCCGACCCTTTTCCTTTTCTAAAGTCGAGCAGCGAAGGAGACTGACAGAGGGAGAGAGAGAGAGAGAATACTAGAGGCCAGCGCAGAGACCGTGATTATCCCAGAGACCACCATAGAGACCGGGATTATTCCAGAGCCCAGCCCAGTGACCAGCGAAGACACGTTAATTATCCCAGAGACCAGCACAGAGACTGGGATTATCCCAGAGACCAGCACAGAGACCGTGATTATCCCAGAGACCAGCACAGAGACTGGGATTATTCCAGAGCCCAGCCCAGTGACCAGCCAAGACACGTTGATTATCCCAGAGATCAGCACAGAGACCAGCCCAGAAGATGGGATCATTCCAGAAAATCGATCAGGGATGGAAACCATTCCAGCTACTGGGATCAGTTCAATGACCAGCCCAGGGACTCGGATCATCCCAAAGACAGGGACCAGGATCATCCCAAAGACAGAGACCAGGATCATCCCAAAGACAGGGACTCGGATCATCCCAAAGACAGGGACCAGGATCATCCCAAAGACAGAGACCAGGATCATCCCAAAGACAGGGACTCGGATCATCCCAAAGACAGGGACTCGGATCATCCCAAAGACAGGGACTCGGATCATCCCAAAGACAGGGACTCGAATCATCCCACAGACAGGGACTCGGATCATCCCAAAGACAGGGACTCGGATCATCCCAAAGACAGGGACTCGGATCATCCCAAAGACAGGGACTCGGATCATCCCAAAGACAGGGACTCGGATCATCCCAAAGACAGGGACTCGGATCATCCCAAAGACAGGGACTCGGATCATCCCAAAGACAGGGACTCGGATCATCCCAAAGACAGGGACTCGGATCATCCCAAAGACAAGGACCCGGATCATCCCAAAGACCCTGATCATCCCAAAGACAAGGAATCTAATCGTCCCAAGGACAGACACTTTGATCGTACCAAAGGCAAGGAATGCGATCGTCTCAAAGACAGACACTCTGATCGTTCCAAAGACCCTCATCGCACCAAAGACAGAGAGTGCGACCGTTTCAAAGACAAGGATCCTCCCATGGACAAGGATCTGGATTGTGCTGTGGCCAGTGACAGTAATCCTCCCAAAGACAAGGACAAGGATCGTCCCACAGATAGGGAATGGGACTGTGATTTTGCCAGAGACTGGCCCAGGAATTGGGATTTTGCCAGTGACTGGCCAAGTGACTGGGATTTTGCCAGTGACAATCCCATCTGTTTTGGAGCCCAGGAACATGCTACAGAACAGCTTGGAAACCAGGACAATCCAAGAAGCCAGGATATTCCAAGAAACCAGGATTAGTGGCATTAAGGGACTGAGGGATAATTCCCCTGCTGCAATCATCCCCAGGCTGGGATGATCTCAGATTCTGGCCTTGGAGAGTGGGATCATCCCAGATTCCAACCAAGAGCCTGGGATCATCCCAGATTCTGGCTGAGAGTCTAGATTTTCCCAGATTCTGGCTGAGAGACTGGAATTATTCCACATTTTGATTGATAGATTGAGATCATTCCAGAGACTAGCCGAGTAACTAGCCGGGGATTGGAAACGTCTGAGATAGTGATTGAGGGACTCGGATCATCTAAATTCTTCTGGAGAAACTGTGATTATCCCTGGAGACTAGTCCATGGACTGGGACCATCTAGAGAATGGGATCTTCCCAGAGCCTTGGATATTCCCAGAGATCAGCCTCAACGAAAGTATCATTTTACCAATAGTGTTGCAAAATCAATTGAGCAAACGTTTGGGACCTCAACAAGTGCTCGTGTAAGGAAAGCACTTATCTGACCATTAAACAATAACAACTTGGATTTATATAGCGCTCCTCACACAGGGAGGCTTTCCAGATCACTTGTCAGTGGCAGAGCATGATGCCAAGCCAGGGGGAGGTGAGCATAGGCACTGTCGAAGAGGAAGGTCTGAAGATGGGGAAGGAAGGAGAAAAGCGGAGGGACTGGGGGAGAGTGTTCCAGGGTTTCGGGTGTAGTGGCTAAAAGTGTGGCCGCTGCTGGTGCAACAGCGGGTACAAGGGACAAGCAGGAGGCCAGAGCCAGTCGAGGTAGTGGGCAGTGGAGTGGGGAGTAAGCAGGTCAGTGATGTACGGCGATGCCAGGCCATGAAGGCATTTGAAGCAGCACTGGACTATGAACTCAAGTCCCCACCTTCTGACCTAGAATAGAGTGTGCCAGAGATGGAGCCAAGCTGATGCAGGTGGAAAGTACTGCGATGAAGTGGTGGAGCATGGGCTCGATAGGCTGAATTGCCTGGTAAGCCCCACCTGTGCCTGGGGTATTTTAATAATAATGATCCTTACATTTGATATAGGGCACAGTGTCTTATCACGTCTTCGAGACATCTCAAAGCACTTCACAGGACGTACTGTAAAGTGAATTGACTGTATATTTTGTGACAGCCAATTGCGCACAGCGGTGTCCCACAAACAGTCGTGGTTTGAGTGACCAAATTATTAGTATTTTGGATGGGATTATTACCTCCGGAAAAGTAATCCAGCAATCGACTAACAACCGGGTTCCTACTTACTCCGAGATAAACAGAGGCGCACGCGTGTGTGTGTGGAGTAAGGAAACTTGCCCAAGGTTTCGCCCCGACCCTCCCTGGCCGGGAATCGAGCCCAGTTCCTCTCGTTTGCGAGGCACGTGCTCTAGCTACTAAGGACTGCAGGACTTCATATTGCAGACTGTTGATATTTTTCTTGGTGATGCCCTCCAGGCTTCCGGTAGTGACTGAGTGGCTCTCGGTATGAGTTGGCCCCTGGAGGAGTGGAAGGGCGAACTGTCCAGCCAAGCTCTGAGGAAGGTGACAGAGTGTGAGAGGCAGTTGGAGAAACTGGGGCGAGAGAGGCAACAGAGGCAACTGCAGCTGGACGCTATGGAATCCACCTTCCACAAGCAGCAGCAGAAGGTGATCGCCGTGGGAGGGGCGGGGGGCCAGAGAGTGGGAACTGGCACGGACTGAAGATAGGGATGGCGGAGAGATCAGGGAAGAGAGTTCCAGAGCTGAAAGTGTGGCCACCCGTGGCGGAGCGGAGAGCACGAGGGCCAAGCGGGAGGCCGGAGCCAGCCGAGCGGAGGCGGCGGGTGGTGGGTTGGGGAGTAAGCATGTCGGAGGGGTAGGGAGGTGTTGGGGAGACCAGCGAGTCGTCGAGGCGGGAGATCACAAATGCATGGACGGGTTTCGGCTGCGTTTGGGGTAAGGTTGGCTGGCACGTAGACCTCACATCTCTTGTGTTGTTTTAAGCTGGAGGATGAGAGGCACGAGCACGCGAGCCTGAGGAGAGAGGCACAGAGCCTGAGGGACGAGGCCAGCCAGGGGGAGAGGAGCCGGCAGAGGCTGTGTCAGGAACTACAGGTGAAGGAGGCTCTGGTGTGCAGCCTGGAGGGCCAGCTGGTAGCTGCCAGGAAGCGAACAGACAACCTGGAGCATGAATTAAAGAGGTACCTCTCTCTCTCTCTCTCCCCCCACCCCATCTCTCTCCCCCCACCCCCATCTCTCTCCCCCCACCCTGCTCTTTCTCTCTTTCTCTCTCAAACCTCGAATGCACTCAAGCTTAATACTCGCAGAAACCCTCGCTCGCAAGGCAAGAGCTCTAACCACTACGCTACAGGCACTCCACACCTATGACGATCTCTCCTTTTCCACCACATCTTTTTATCACTTTTCCGCAGGTTAGAAACAGAGCTTGAGCGGAACCTCAGGAGCCCACTGCCCTCACCCTCAGCCTCCCAGCTCTATCCCGGTCTGTCCAACACCTCCTCACCTTGTCCCAGAGACAACCAGGGTAAGTGATCAAACCAGCAAATACTGTCCCAACACATGGATAATCCTTTAGCCTCGTCGCAATGAGGGGCATCAAGTGAAACCCCCCCTCGCCTAAGGTTCAAATGGAAGGATTATTACTATTGCTGGCTGTTGCATTTGACACAAAATGTCACTACGTGGCCCCTCTCCCCCCTGACTCGGTGTCAGACTCTGCCACTGTCAAGCGCTCCGGGACACTACCCCACGTGAAGGGCGCAACATAAATGCGAGTTGTTGTTGTACGAGGAGCTATAAACATTCAAGTTCCTTCTTGTCAACTGATGAGCTCAGTAACACGAGGCCATCTGGGTGGGTGATAGGCATTTTCCAGACTCAGGGCAAGTGTAAAAATAATTTCTTTGCACACTTTCCTTGGTTGAAGGCGCCCAATGGGAGGATCTGCAGAGGAAATATCAGAGGGAGGCAGAGGAGAGACAGAGGCTGGGGACCGAAGTCAACACTCTGAGGCTACAGGTGAGCGGTCACACTGGGGCGAGAACAACACGATAAGGGAAGGGAGTTCCTCTCACTCTCTCCCAGTGTCCTGGGAGGGTGGGTGGGGGGGCGGGGGCTGTGCTCCTTCAGATGAGACGTTAAACCCATCTTAAGCAGCAGGAGAGCAGTGGGTGTTATTTGAATGTTCTTTGGCCTCAGGTTCAGCCGCTGGAGCTCAGCCACAGAAGCCATGGACGAGAGGATAACAGAGCACAGAGCAGCCCGACTAACTGTCCCTGGCAGAACCCCGATCACCAGCCCCCCAGCACCCCAGCTGGTCGGGGAGCCCCCTTGTCTGTGTTGCCCTGGGAGGAGCGAGCGACACAACAGCCCCCCTGCAGACCGCTCACTCCTGACCCCACCCACCCCCACCTCAGCTGGGCCGAGGAGAGCAGCAGCCCACAGGTGGATGGACTGAGAGAGGAAAATAGGGGTAAGAGCTCCAGCTTCAAACATCGTAAGGCACTTCATAGTTGTGTGGCAACTGGCTCCGGCCTTCTGCATGTACCTCTGGCCCCCCGTTCCACCATTGCTGGCCGCGCTTTCCGCCACTTCGCCCCAAATCTCTGGAACGCTCTTCCTCTATCCCTCCGTCTTGCCCCAATTGGCTGCCGCGTTTGCCCACAAAACACGCAGTCGCTACACTTTACAATATAGATGAGACACTGTGGAGTCCTTAGTCAGTGGTTAGATCGCTTGCAATGAAACATAATTACAGGCAGGGCGAAACCTTGGGCAAGTTTTCTTACTCCACACGCCTAATAATAAAAAAAAAAAAAAAAAAAAAAAATTGGTCATTTTCAATCCACGACTGTTTGTGGGACATTGCTGTGCGCATTGGCTGCCGCGTTCGCCCACAAATGATAAGGCGCTATATCAAATGCAGGGATTATTAATATTAACTTTCCAGCATTCTCTCTCCACTCTCTCTGCGCCCCTGGTATCAACCTGTGTCGCACAGTGCTGAGAAGCACAGTGACCGAGTTGGAAATTTGGGTTCAGTCTCAGGAAAAAGAAATCAAAATCCACGACAACAGGTTGCAGGAGCTGCAGTCGCGGCTGGAGATGAGCGAGGCACAGCTGGCAGCAAAACAGCAAACCCTGAACCACGGTCAACAACTCCTGAGCAGAGCTAACCAGGGACAGGAGCTCGCCAACACCAAGGTCTGTGTGTGTCTGTATGTGTGTGTGTGTGACTGTGTGTGTCAGGGCGTGACACTGTGAGAGTGAAATAGTTGTGGCACTGTGTGTGTGTGTGTGTGTGTGTGAGAGAGGCGTGTGTGTGTATATGTGCGTGTGCATGTGGGGGATCCTGTGACTGAGGGAGCCTGTGGGTGTGTGCTTTACCTGCAGTGTGCGGGACTGGAGCAGAGGCTGAAGCAGGTGACGGCAGAGCTGGGGTGTCTGAGGCAGAACGCAGAAAGCGCCCGGCATTCAGCGGAGCAGAGACTGAGACAGCGGGAGAGGGAACACCAGCAGGTGAAGGCCCACCCTGCCCCGGGTAACGTCTCCGAGCTGAGCTGCTGTCTTCTCTCCAGAACATTTTTATTCCTGTTTCACAAAGTCTTTCGAGGCTGGGAAGCCGTTCCTGGTGTCGACTCTCCATCACACACAGGCAGGACAATCCTGTTCATTGAACAGGTCATTGAACTTGTCCCTCGTGCCCTCCGCTCCACCATCGGCGGCCATGCCACCCACTATGCCCCGAAACGCTAGAACACTCTCCCTCTATCCCTCCCTCCACCTTGCCCCTTGCTTTCCCATCTTCAGGTTGCGCCTAAAGCCTCCCCCTGGCTCGGTGTCCGAATCCGCCACTGTCAAGCACTCTGGGACGCTGCCCTGGGTGAGGGTCTCTGTGTAAATGCAAGTTGTTGTTGTTGATGGGACAGCGGGATTGTGACCTGGTTTCAGGAGCTACAGGAGCTAGCCGAGCAGCAGTCTGGGTACCAGATGCTGGAGCAGGAGAGCAGGGAAGCTCAGAGCACAGCTTCACACCAGATACAGCAGCTGCAGAGAGAGCACCTCGAGCTACAAGCCACGGTGGATAAGGTAACACAGGCTGCTGCTATCTAACGTACTGTTTCCAAAGCCTTCACTCTCTCGTTAGGAGTTACGGTGCCCTGTGTTATTGGGAGTGAGATTCCGGGTTCGATTCCCGGCTGGTCAGGGTCAGGGCGAAACGTTAGGAAAGTTTCCTTACTCCACACACACACACACACCTCGGTTTACCGAACAGTAAGTAGGAATCCGCTTGTTAGTTGATAGGCAGATTGCTTTCCGGGGGCAATAATCCCCTCAAAATAAATAATAACTTGGTCACTCAATCCACGACTATGTGTGGGGACGCTGCCGTGTGCAAATGGCTGCCGCATTTCGCCCACAAAATAAGCAGTCACTACACTTTATCAGTGTATCCTGTGAAGCGCTTTGAGACGTCTCGACGACATGATAAGGCGCAGTATCAAATGTTAAGATTATTATTATTATTATTATTGTGAAGGTGACAGCACAGAAACAGCTGGTGGACAGGGAGCTGCAGGAACTGGAAGAAAAGGTTGACTGGGCGGTGGGGGAACTCGCAGCCTATCAAAAGAGAGAAGCCGATCTGCAGAGAGAAAAGCAGGTAAGAGTTATGTTGAAGGAAAGCATTGCTCACCCCTCTATTGTGGGGGAGTCACCGGGTACCATTCTCTGTCAGCAAGGGGGACTCGTATCTTGGTGCCCTCTGGCACTTCACCTCCATCCCTACTTGAGACCAATTGTAGAAACGTAGGAATAGGAGGCCATTCAGCCCCTCGAGCCTGTTCCACCATTCGACAAGATCATGGCTGACCTGTACCTCAACTTGAATTACGCGCCTTTGAATTATCCTTAATACCCTGACCTACAAACATCTTTCCTTCTCAGTCTGGACAATGTGAATGGATCCAGCCATAATTCACAGCCTATTGGGGGAGAGAGGTAATTTTGTTGTTGCTGTTTGTTTGTGTGTGCATGTGAAAACTTGCCTCCTCCTACAGAGGAATAGAGGGGTATTTGGGAGGGTATAGGAGAAGGGTTTAGGAGTGGGGTATTGTGTGTAGTATGGCACAGGCTAGTTGGGTGAATGGCTGTTCGCTGTACAGTTTGCTGTGTAATCCTGTCTATCTGTATGTTAGCTTACACTGGAGAAGAACAGCACATGTCAGGGACAGAGCACACAGCGCCTCCTGCAACTCGAGGCACAGCTGACACGTATGGAACAGGATCTCACCTGGAGTCAGACATCCAGGGAGGAGATGAGGGGTAGGCAATGCTTTTCTTCAACATAACAATAGTTCCCGTTACCTTTCTCTCTGTATTGTACGTTCAGGACTTTGAGCTCACAGTGATTATAATGTTCCAGCGCAGTGCTCTGTTCAGGGCGGTCTTTCAAGATCTTCCTTCAAAAAAAAATAATAATGTGGTCACTCAATCCACGACTGTTTGTGGGACGTCGCTGTGCGCAATTGGCTGCCGCGTTTCGCCCACAAAACACATTCACTACATTTTACAGTGTATCCTGTGAAGCGTTTTGAGACGTCTCGAAGATGTGATAAGGGGCTGTATCAAATGCCAGGATTATCATTGTTATTATTATTGGAGCTGAGGTTGTGATATTCTCTTTTAGGGGAAAACCTGTCTCTATCGGTCAAAGTCGAGGCTCTTCAGCGAGAGATTAATGTGCAGCGGGAAGGTCTCTCTGTCAACCCAGGCCCACAGCTGCTGTCCTGCCCGTCCAGCCTGAGCCAGCAGGAGGCCAGCCAGTCAGACCCACATGTGGTGGTCTCCTCACAGGGGGTCCTGCCCTCACAGTGCGGCGACCATCAAGCCCAGGAGGCCAGAGAGGGCAGCCCAGCAGCAGCTCAACCGCTGGAGAATGGAGCAGTTTGTGGAGTCATTGCTGTGCCTTCCTTCACTGAGGCTGCAGCAGGCGTGGCTGCAGCGTGGGCGGGGCTGCAGTACCTGAGGGGGAAGCGGAGGTTCTGAAGGATAATGGTGAGCTGGAGGGCGAGCAGCAAAGCCGGCTGGAGGCGGAGTTGGGACAGGACTCAGGGGAGAGGAGAGCCCGGCTGATGGAGAAGGGAGCAAGTGGAGATGGCCCGCCAGACGGAGACCTGGAGAGGTCCCAGCTGCATGCACGGCTGCTGGAGCTGGAGAAGAGGTGTGAGGATCTGACCAGGGAGAAGGAGCGGGCAGAGCAAAGGCACAGCGAGGCCCAGCGCACGCTGCAGGAACTCCAGGCCATGCTCCACAGGGAGATACAGCAGCTGACGGCGGCCTTGGAGGTCCAAACTCAAAACATGGAGGACCTGCTGCTCAGTGTTGAGGGGAAGGACCGCACCATAGCCGACCTCTGCAAGAGGCTAAACCAAGCCCTGAAGGCCATATCCTGGCTGCAGAGCGACTCGGAGGTGATTTGGGAACACAACGAAGGCGAGAGGGAAGGTCCTGACACACGGTCAGCGCTGGGACAAGATCGCTCAATGGAGCCTCCGGAGTTGAGCAAGCAGCTCCGCGTGGATCCCGTGAGGAAGTGTTCCATTATATGTTAGTGGCCAAAGGCACAGACAGACTTGAGGGAGACATTGGCAGTGTCTCAGGGCAGCACAGGCACAACAGCAGCACGGTCGGTACTTCACGGCGAGAGGTCGGTGATTCCGAGGCCAGGTGGGCTCTGAGCTTTCGAGGGGAGGAGGTGGAGGAAGCAGAGCTGGAATCATCTGTCTCTATCTCGCACCCTCGTGGCCGGGAGAGCGCGAGGTTAGCGGAGGAGCTGAGGTTAAAGGAAGGGCAGGGGACGGAGGAGCCGGGGAGCGTGAGACGTAAATTCACTGAGTGTCTAAAGGCTGCGGATGGCACCGGGCTTATCGTGGTGGAGGAGGAGAGCGGAGCCAGCAATCAGTCTGAGAGCAACTGGCCATACGTAGTAGATCCCCCTGGAGAGCGGGAGGCGGCCCGGTCCCCCACACGAGAGCCTGAGACTCAAGAAGCTCTCGGGACCCCCACACGAGAGGCCGAGACCCCCACACAAGAGGCCGGGACCCCCACACGAGAGGCCAAGACACCCACACAAGAGGTCGAGACTCCCACACAAAAGGTAGAGACTCCCACACAAGAGGTCGAGACCCCCACACAAGAGGTCGAGACCCCCACACGAGAGGCCGATACCCCCACACACGAGGCCAAGACCCCCACACAAGAGGTCGAGACTCCCACACAAGAGGTCGAGACTCCCACACAAGAGGTCGAGACCCCCACACAAGAGGTCGAGACCCCCACACAAGAGGTCGAGACCCCCACACGAGAGGTCGAGACCCCCACACAAGAGGTCGAGACTTCCACACAAGAGGTCGAGACTCCCACACAAGAGGCCGACACCCCCACACGAGAGGACAAGACCCCCACACGAGAGGTCGAGACTCCCACACAAGAGGTCGAGACTCCCACACAAGAGGCCGGGACCCCCACACGAGAGGCCGACACCCCCACACGAGAGGCCAAGACCCCCACACAAAAGGTCGAGACCCCCACACGAGAGGCGTCGTTGACCAGGATACGAGCAGAAGGACCGGCAGGAAGGCGACAGGTGGGGGAGCAGGGAGTGCGATTACACACAGCGAGAATGCAGCCAACGGAGCTGGGGCTGAAGGTGGAGCCGGCAGAGTTGGCCCGGAAGTTACTGCAGAGACGGGGGTTTCTACAGCACCTGTCGGTGGCCTTCGACGACACGGAGTACGAGCCGTATGGGCTGCCGGACGTGGTGCAGAAAGGTGAGTCACATCACCTCCTCTCTACAGCTCTCACACAGTAAAGCTCCCTCTACACTGTGTGTCCCTCCACACTCCCCAGGTCAGTGACAGCGGGAGTTGGAGACAGAGTTAGGATTGACTGTACAGTGTGGTGACTGTGTGTTTTGCGGCAGCTGATTTTCACCGTGTTGGCAGGTTTTGGGGATATTCCGGCCGGGCCCTCCTGCCCCCACGTCCTACGCCGAGCTCTGCTGAGCAGCCTGTCTGTGCCAGAGGAGAGACCAGCCTCCCTGCCCACCAGCCAGAACCTCGCCAACGGCAAAGTGGAACAGTGAGAGAGCAAAGGTATTCACTGAGCGGGAGTCTGACCACTCCCCCCCCCACCCCCACCCCACACACCCGCCATTCCCTGCTCCCGATTTAGCCTCTCGGAGGAAATTCCAACACTTAGAGCCTTGGAAGCAAGAGGCCTTGGGTTTGATCCTCAGCCGGGAAAATAGTTTCCTTACACGACACACCTCTGTTTACTCAGCAGTGAGTAGGAACCCGGTTGTTGGTCGATCGGTGGATCGATTTTCCCTTAAAAAAATAATAATTTTGTTACTCAGCCCACGACTGTGTGTGGGACGCTGCTGTGCTCATTTGGCTGCTGCGTTTCGCCCACAAACTGTAGAGTCACTACACTGTACAGTAAATTCTGTGAAGCGCTTTGAGACGTCTCGAAGATGTGATAAGGCGCTTTATCAAATGCCAGGACTGTTTGTTGTTGTTGTTCTCTTTACAAGTCAGGGTTTACAAGGAGCGGTCACACTCGATGCGCAAATTCTCACTAACGTGACGACAGGACCAGTCCTCTTAAATATTAAGCGTCCTGACTCACTTTTTCACACGGGAATGTGTAAATTTAAACAGTATTTTCGTGCCTTGCGTCAATTAAATCCGTCAAAAGTTTTCACAGGCGTGGAAATTGTTTTTCTCACAAACGTTTAATTGTACCTTGGTGTGGTCACGTGGATCGTGCCAATGGCTGCTCCCTGGATCAGTGAGGTGTCCCATAGTCCCCACAAGGTCTCTGGGGGACTCGGTCCTGTGTGTTGGGATCTCTGTGAGTTTACTGAGGGGCCCCTGTCCCTCTCCCACTGCCCCTCGCCGAGTATCAGCCTCCAGCTGCTCACGCTGACCCGGTGTCCGTGTGTGTCAGACCCGCGGCCGATTCTTCTTTTTATTATTATAAGTGGGAAAAAAAAAGCCACGTTTCGTTATTACTCGGAGTAATTAAGTAATAGCAGTTCTTTCATATTTTCATGAAATCAACTCTGAGCCACTTTCACACCCGACATGGAGACCAGACTCCCAATTCTGTGTGTGAGTCACTATTTATACAAGTGTTTTTACAGAGAGAGAGAGAGAAATGTGCCTAAAATCATTCCGAGTCCACACTGAAATTTCAAAACTATCTCCTTCTCTTCCCTCTCCGCCTCCCCCCCCCCCTCCCCCCCCCTCCTCTCCCCCTCCCTCCCTTTCCCACTCCCCATATATACATTTTCACACAATTACATCAGTTGAAGAAGGGGAAAGGAATGAGGGAGTGAGTTGGAGGAACAAACTTGGGGGAGAAGAGAGTTGACGATGAGATGTTTCGATGCTCTTCAACCTCATCAGAGGATCCTCCCCGAAGCCCGAGGGGCGCGAGGGTCACCGTCTTTGAAACTCCAGAGCGACTGGAATCCTGCGGAGACCACGATATCAGCTGTTGTGTCTTGTACTGACCGGCAGAACCAGGGCACACGGCCCGCGAGGGAGACGGAGGGAGGGGGGGAATGCCATCGATTTCTGTCAGGAAATAATACCCGGGGAAAGAGGATACGGTGCACAGTTTGGGGGCGCGACGTGTCGAGCGACTGCCCGGATGGTGGAAGTCGAACGGGATGGACCTCGGCCTTCTTTCGCCAACAAAGTTCTTATGTTCTCATCGCCCACCCAACGAGACAGCGTTAAGCTGCGTCCTATCCAGGACTCCCAGTGTCCAGGCCTCAACTGTCCTTCGCTCATAACCCCGGCCACTGACCCTTGAGGTAAAGGATACTTTGAGGCCCTTTCTCACAGGCCCAGTGCTGGGGAGAGAAAGAGGGCGGAAGGACCTGTACCTGAAGATGAGGAGAGTTGACCCGGAGGCCCCGAGTCCTGAGGACCACAGTTTGGGCGCCGTCACCAAACTGCAGTACATGAGGTGGCGCGAGACCCTGAGCTCCACCTCCAGCCTCGCCTTCCGCATCGAGGGGCTGACGGTGAGGCCCCTCCACCCTCCATCACCCTCCCTCCATCTCTCGCTCCATCCCTCCATCTCTCTCTCCTCTCCCTCCCTCCCTCCATCTCTCTCTCCATCGCTCCCCCCATCACCCTCCTTCCATCTCTCCCTCCCTCCATCTCTCCCTCCCTCCCTCCATCTCTCCCTCCCTCCATCTCTCTCCCTCCCTCCATCTCTCTCTCCATCGCTCCCTCCATCACCCTCCTTCCATCTCTCCCTCCCTCCCTCCATCTCTCTCCTCTCCCTCCCTCTATCTCTCCCTCCATCGCTCCCTCCTCTCCCTCCATCACCCTCCCTCCATCTCTCCCTCCCTCCATCTCTCCTTCCCTCCATCTCTCCTTCCCTCCATCTCTCTCCTCTCCCTCCATCACCCTCCCTCCATCTCTCCCTCCCTCCTTCCCTCCATCTCTCCTTCCCTCCTTCCCTCCATCTCTCCCTCCCTCCATCTCTCTCCTCTCCCTCCCTCCATCTCTCCCTCCATCGCTCCCTCCTCTCCCTCCATCACCCTCCCTCCCTTCATCTCTCCCTCCCCCTCCCTCAACCTCTCCCCTCTCCCTCGCTCCCTCGCTCTCTCCAATCACTGACCCCGTCCCTCGTTGGCTCAGACGAGACCGTGAAACCGTGAAGGCACCTCCCGCGACGAAGGGTTTCCCGGCGTCTGATATCAACAACAACAACAACAACAACATTAATAACAATAAAACAACAGCAATAGGAATTATAATATTAATAACGATATTCACCACAAACAGATTAGTAACAAAAATAATAATCGTAATGTCAGTAACACATTAATAGCGACAAATAATGACAGTAATAACATCAATAATAACATCAATAATGACAGCAATAACATCAATAATAACATCAATAATAACAGTAATAACATCAATAATAACAATAATAACAATGATAACAATAACACTATCGGCCGCTCAGACCGTGGGCTGTAATGTGATTATTGTCTGAGTTACAGACGGCCGATGGGAAAGTCCTGAAAGACTTTAAGCAAACGCGGAGCCGAGAGCAGATCACAGCCACGTTACTGAGGTTCACTGGGGGTGAGGTGGACATTCTGGTGAGGCTGAGACCGAGAGGCCGAGGGGTGGGGGGTGGGGAGCGGGGGGGGGGGGTTGGGGGGTGTAGGGGGGAAGCGGGAGGGGGGGTGGGGGTGGGCGGAGGACGTTACCGTGTTCCTATTCGTGTCTGGTGGGCGTTTCGAGGTCTGACCCTGAGGAATAGAGCAACAGGACGAGGCCATTCAGCCCCTCCAGCCTGTTCCGCCGTTCTATGGCTGATCCGTACCTCGGCTCCAATTACCCGCCCCTCGCCCCCCCCCCACCGCCCCCCACCGCCCCTCGATGCCCCGACAATTACAATAATAAATATTAGTAAGAACAATAATCCTTACATCTGAGCCCAGTGGCTCCCACACACAGAGGTCTCTCTCTCTCTCTCTCTCCCTCTCTCTCTGTCGCTTCCCGGGGATTCACCCGATAGCAATGGAGTGTAGTGACTGTTTGCTGAGGGATTGGGATTGTCTTTCGCAGAAAGGTTACCTGGAACAGCTGAGATCCATCGAAGAGGCTTTGGGTCGGTCGGTCTTCTTCAAGACGCACGAGGTAAGTGGAAGCCAACGACGACAACTTGCATTTCCCAGCGCCCCCTTCCTCTTCGACTGACCAACCGGGCCTTCGGTCACCCTCCTACCCCCACCCTCCACCCCCTCCCGATCCCAACCCCCTGTCCGGCTCGGGTCCAAGCCCCTGACTGTCCCCGGGCCTGGGAACGTTCTCCCTCCTGCCGCGAGAGGTGGTCAGTGTTGTTGTTGTTGTTGTTGTTGTTGCTGTAGGTGATCGGGAGTTCGCTGCTGTTTGTCCACGAGAGTCTGGGGAAGCCGGAGGTTTGGCTGATCGACTTTGGGAAGACCACAGCCCTCCCCCAGGGCCAGACCCTGAGGCACGACATTCCCTGGGAGGAGGGGAACCGAGAGGATGGATACCTCCTGGGGCTCCATAACCTCATGGACATCTTCTCCCAGGCCCTGACGCAGAGGCTCACAGACACCGAGACAACCTGAGGGGCGAGAGGTGGGGTGGGGGGGGGGTGGGGGGTGGCACTGAGACATCTCACATCCCACCCCCCCCCCACCACCACCCAGAGAAAGGGGGGAAGAGGGGGTGGGCGATGAACATTGAATGGTGAGATCACACACACATGGACACACAGGGACACAAACACACACACAGGGACACACACACACACACAGGGACACACACAGACACGGACACACACACACACTGGGACAGACACGGACACACACACAGGGACACACACACTGGGACACACAGACACGGACACACACACAGGGACACACACACACACGGACACGCACACGGACCCACACACATACAGGGACACACACACGTGTTCCTGATGACCTTTAGTATAACGCACTACAGCTTCTTGGACACTAATTTTAGCAAAATACTTATCATTCCGAACAGATTGTATGTGGGGATCGAGCCCCAGCCCTCCCCCCCCCCCCACACCCCGTCTGTGCCGGTCTCTCTCTCTCTGTCTCTGCCCCCTCCCTCTGTGAGGGTCTCGAGCCCCCGGTTCCCGAGCCCGGAGGGGCCGAGGGCCCCCGGTTCCCGAGCCCGGAGGGGCTGAGGGTCCCCGGTTCCCGAGCCCGGAGGGCCCCGGTTCCCGAGCCCAGAGGGGCCGAGGGTCCCCGGTTCCCGAGCCCGGAGGGGCCCCGGTTCCCGAGCCCGGAGGGGCCGAGGGTCCCCGGTTCCCGAGCCCGGAGGGGCCGAGGGTCCCCGGTTCCCGAGCCCGGAGGGGCCGAGGGTCCCCGGGCACTCACTGCTGGTGGCGGTCCGGCCCAGACACGGGAGGACCTGGAAAGGGCCGACCAGTCACTGGGGGCAGAGAATCCTCCCCTCAGCCCCTGGTAACCCCACAGCCATAGCCCCCACTGACTGACTGGCGGGGGGGGGGGGGGGTCCGGGCTGGACACGCAGCGGTTTCCGTGTGTCACGGTGACAGGTGTCCGTGTGTGTGTTTTGGGGTCAGAACCCGTGTAAAATAAATAGTTTTGTCTCCTGGAATAACAAAGGGAATTACAATGATCATTAATATACTCCACAGATATTACCTCCTGATATGGGGTCAGTGTGAGACAAATGTACCTTCACACACAGGCGGTTGGTCTGTTGTTTGATAATTGCACTTTTTAAAGGTATTGTATTGTTTATGTACAGTGGGTTTGTATTATACACAATAACACATGTAATACCCATCAATCTCACAGTCATGAACACAGCACCGGGTCACAAACACCCCCACCCACCCCACCCCACCCACCCCACCCCACCCACTCCATTCCCACTTTCGACCCCACACACACAGCGCGCACACACACACACAGCTCACACACACACACGCACACGCACACGCAGCGCGCGCACACAGAGCGCACATACACACAGCGCACGCAACACACAGTGCGCACGCGCAACCAGCACACGCACGCCGCGCGCGCACGCACAGACAGCGCACGCACACAGCGCGCGCACACACAGACACACAGTGCACACGCACAGCATGCACATACACATACACACACACACACACACACAGGGCGCACACACAGACTTGAGATACCTGGGTTATGAGACGCGGTCGATGAGGAGGGTCTTGAGACGGGTCTTGAAGGAGGCGACGGAGGGAGGGAGGGAGGGAGGGGTGTAAGGAGGGAAGGAGGGAGGGAGGAAGGGGGCGAGGGCTGTGGGATGGAGTTCCAGAGGGTGGGGGGGCACACACTCATGTACACACAGACACTCTCTCAGTCTCACAGACACACACACAGACACACACCCACACACACAGACACACAGACACACACACACAGCCCCACTGCCACCGGTAACAGTTTAGCCGAGTCTGACTCGGAGTGAGTCACTCTGACCCACTCCCTCACTCGCTGTCCGGGAAGCAGCGAAGTTCCCACGTTCAGCCCCACATCGGCGCTCACTCTCTCTCTCTCTCTCTCTCTCTCTCCCTGTGTGGCCCTCCAGGGAGAGAGCGCGCAACAGGGAGAGAGAGAGAGAGAGAGCGCATTCCATTCCTACAATCCCTCTCTGGGATTTCCATGTGAAGCCGGGAATGTGGGGAATTCTCGGTCGGGTTTGGAGACTCTTAAGTGTGTCAGACACACGGCCGGTCACGGTGACGGGTTTCCGTGTGTGTCAGACACACGGCCGGTCACGGTGACGGGTTTCCGTGTGTGTGTGTGTCAGACACACGGCCGGTCACGGTGACGGGTTTCCGTGTGTGTGTGCGTCAGACACCCGACCGGTCACGGTGACGGGTTTCCGTGTGTGTCAGACACACGGCCGGTCACGGTGACGGGTTTCCGTGTGTGTGTGTGTGTCAGACACCCGACCGGTCACGGCGACGGGTTTCCGTGTGTGTCGGAAAAAACATACGAACAGCAAAAAAAAAAAGAAAAAAAAGCTTTGCCCGGGAGGAGAGAGAGTCAGTCAGTGTCGGAGCCGGGAGAGGCCTTCACGGGTTGCTATTCCCGGCTGGTTTTCCAGGCTCACTATTCCCGGTTCTCCTCCGATCGCCATTTTAAACTGTCGTCCTTGCGGGCGTCAGGTCGGATCTGGTTCCTCATGCCCCCCAGGAGGCTGGAGGTGGCCTCCGTCGCCACGATCAGAGGCCGGACCACCGTGGGGGGATCTGCCTCAGGACCCCGCCCACCGCCCCCGTCAGCCCCTTCTGCTCGTGCCCCCGGGCGGCCACGTCACACATGGTGAGGGCCGTGTCCAACACGCCCTGTAGCAGTGAGAGAGAGGGAGAGAGAGTGAGGGAGAGATAGAGAGAGACAGTGAGAGAGAGAGAGAGAGAGAGAGTGAGATAGAGAGAGAGAGATGAGAGAGAGAGAGAGAGAGAGACAGTGAGAGGGTTCAGACGCTCGGCTGAAGGGATTACCTCTCGGACGGTGTCGTAAGCCTTGGCCACCCCCTCCCTCAGGTCAGCCGGCTGTTGTCCTCTCCGCGATCTCCTCAGGTGTCTGCGATCAGTCAAGGCCTTGGTAATGGGGGGGGTGGGCGAGAGGATGTCATACACCGTCTCTGCTGTCGCCTGTCACACAGCGAGGGAGAGAGACTGAGACACAGAGACTGAGACACACAGAGACTGAGACACACAGAGACTGAGACACAGAGAGAGTGAGACACAGAGAGACTGAGACACACAGAGACTGAGACACACAGAGACTGAGACACACAGAGAGAGACTGAGACACAGAGACTGAGACACACAGAGACTGAGACACACAGAGACTGAGACACACAGAGACTGAGACACACAGAGACTGAGACACACAGAGACTGAGACACAGAGAGACTGAGACACACAGAGACTGAGACACACAGAGACTGAGACACACAGAGACTGAGACACAGAGACTGAGACACACAGAGAGAGACTGAGACACAGAGACTGAGACACACAGAGACTGAGACACACAGAGACTGAGACAGACAGAGACTGAGACACACAGAGACTGAGACACACAGAGACTGAGACACAGAGAGACTGAGACACACAGAGACTGAGACACACAGAGAGAGACTGAGACACACAGAGACTGAGACACACAGAGACTGAGACAGACAGAGACTGAGACACACAGAGACTGAGACACACAGAGACTGAGACACACAGAGACTGAGACACACAGAGAGAGACTGAGACACACAGAGAGAGACTGAGACACAGAGACTGAGACACACAGAGACTGAGACACACAGAGAGACTGAGACACAGAGCCTGAGACACGGAGACTGAGACACACAGAGACTGAGACACCCTGCCCTACACACACACACACACACACACACCTCCCTCCCTCTCTTCCCCACCTCCCGGCCTCTCTCTCCCCCTCTTTCTCTCTAGCCCCCTCCTTCACTCTCTCTCTTTCCCCTCCCTTCTCTCCCCCCCTCGCCCGCCCTCCCTCCCTCCTCCCTCTCTCTCTCTCCTTGCACTCCTCCATCTTCCTTTCTTCCCCCTTCTCCCCTCTCTCGCCCTCCCTCTCCCGGGTACCTGAATGGCCTGGACCAGTCGGTTGCTGAGCTCGAGGGCAGCCGAGGCTGTTGAGGTGCCGAAGGAAGCTGCCCCCCTCTGCAGACCCCGCATAATCCTCCCGTCTTTACGGTATTGCTCGATCGGGAGCCAGAACAGGTCTCTGAGCCCATGGACTGGGGTGGGGAGAGAGAGAGAGAGAGAGGACATCAGTCACTGTACAGCCCCACCCAGCCCCAAACCCCAACCCCATCCCAGCCCCCAACCCCATCCCAGCACCCAAACCCCATCCCAGCCCCCAACCCCATCCCAGCCCCCAACCCCATCCCAAACCCCAACCCAGCCCCCAACCCCATCCCAGCCCCCAACCCCATCCTAAACCCCGACCCCATCCCAAACCCCAACCCCATCCCAGCACCCAAACCCCATCCCAGCCCCCCAACCCCATCCCAGCCCCCAACCCAGCCACCAAACCCCAACCCCATCCCAGCCCCCCAACCCCATCCCAGCCCCCAACCCCATCCCAAACCCCAACCCCATCCCAGCCCCCAAACCCCTCCATACTGTGCTTTACACTGTGCGTCCATACCCCCAGGTCAGGGTTAGAGACACAGTAAAGCTCCTCTACACTGTGCGTACACTACACTACATACTGCTGGTAACCAGAGGCGTGTGCGTGTGTATCTGTGCGTGTGTGTGTGTGTGTGTGTGTGTGTGTGTGTGAGTGGGGGGGGTGGTGGTGGGGGAGATACTCACAGAGCTGAACGACAGAGTGCATGGGGCCAACCCCGCCCAGAATCCCGGGCAGTTGGTTTTTCCTGATATCCGTCAGCCACTCGCTCAGAGCATAGTTTATCACCTTGTCCACTCCCAGCAGCCTGTCACACCAACAACAACAACAACTTCAGCCGGCACTCACACAGGCAGCGCCCAGGAGCCGGCGGGAGGGGTGGGGGGGTGGGGGGCGGACCGTGGGTCACAGAGGAAGGTCTTCAGACGTGATGTCAACCCCCACCACTCAAACCCCAGCCCACACCAAGCCAGAGTCACAGTCAGAGGCACAGAGAGAGATGGAGAGAGAGAGACAGAGAGGCAGAGAGCGAAAGAGAGAGAAAGAGAGAGGGAGAGAGACAGAGAGATAGACAGAGAGCGAGAGAGAGAGAGACAGAAAGAGAGAGAGAAAGAGACAGAGAGAGAGAGAGAGGGAGACAGAGAGAGGGGGAGGAGGAGGGAGAGACGGTGGTGGTGGGGGGGAGGGGGTGTATAGCCCCCACTTTGCGGCGTGTACTGTGTCCCTGTTAGAGCTTTACCCGTGACGACAGCACAGACGTTTCAGTTTGAGTTCCGAGCAGTTGAGCTGAGCGAGGCCAATCAGGATCCCGGCAAACGTACCCTGAGGGGAGAGAGAGAGGTGAGAGAGCGTACGACGGAGAGAGAGAGAGAGGACGAGAGAGAGAGAGAGAGAGAGAGAGAGGACGAGAGGAGCAGAGTGTAACGAGCAGAGAGAGAGAGGAGAGACAGAGAAGAGTGTGTAGAGACAAGAAGCAGTAGTACGACCCAGAGAGAGTGAGAAGACGGAGAAGGAGAGAGTCGGAGAGAGAAGGGAGTGAGGAGAGACAGAGAGAGAGTGAGAGAGCAGAGAGAGAGTGAGAGTAGAGAGGTGAGAGAAGAGGAGATGAGAGTGACAGAGAGAGAGAGGGAGAGGGAGATAGAGAGACACCCCCCCCCCGGCCCGCGCTCCTCACCTGGTCCATGGTGACATGTTTGCCGTGATAGTCCAGCCAGATCGGTACCTCGGAGGTGAAACGGAACTCCCTGTGAGAGAGAGAGAGAGAGAAAGAGGCGGAGTGTGAGAGAGGAGAGGGAGAGGGGAGGGTGTGAGAGGAGAGAGAGAGGCAGGAGGGAGGGGGAGGGAGAGCGCGGAGAGTGTGAGAGAGAGCAGAGAGAGAGGAGAGAGGAGCGGCGGGAGGGAGAGAGGGGAGCGTGCAGAGAGGGAGAGAGAGCGGGAGAGTGTGAGAGACGGAGAGGGAGAAGAGGGTGGAGAGGAGAAGAGAGAGGGTAGAGAGGGAGAGAGGAGTGTGCTGAGAGAGAGAGAGGAGCGGGGGGGTGTGAGAGGGAGGGAGAGAGCAGTGCAGGATTGAGAGGAGAGAGAGGGCGAGAGGGGAGAGGCGGGAGGGGGGAGCTGTGCGAGGGAGAGAGAGGGCGAGGGAGGGGAGTGTGAGAGGAGAGAGAGAGCGTGTGGAGGGGAGTGAGTAGGAGATGAGAGGGAGAGAGAGGGAGAGGGAGAGAGAGCGTGGGAGAGGTGAGAGAGAGCGGTGAGAGGGGAGAGAGAGGGGGAGTGGAGAGAGAGCGTGTGGAGGGGAGAGAGTGTGAGAGAGAGAGTGTGGTGAGAGGGGAGAGTGTGTGTAGAGAGAGGGAGAGAGTGGGGAGTGGTGAGAGGGAGAGAGAGTGGGAGAGGGGGAGGGGAGTGTGAGGAGAGAGAGAGAGAGTGTGTGAGAGAGAGCAGAGGGGTGAGGTGAGAGAAGATTGGAGAGGGGGGGAGTGTGTGAGAGGAGAGAGAGGGTGGAGAGGGGGGGCAGTGTGAGAGAGGAGAGAGAGGGGGAGGAGGAGATGTGTGAGAGAGAGAGAGTGTGTGAGAGGGAGAGAGTGTGTGTGAGAGGGAGA